GTGCTTTGACTGCAATCTGCAACTATGGAATTTTCCACCTGTGGCATCGTGTGGACATTCAAAATGTTTCTGACTTAAAAGTATTTCAGATTTGGGGACTAGGAATGGTCAACTTGTATAATGAACACAAAGGCCTTGGCTTCATTTTTTGTTTTCTTTTGTTTTGTTTTCAAGAGAGATAAGGTCTTGCTATGTTGCCCAGGCTGGCCTTGAACTCATGATCCTGCAGCCTTGGCCTCTCTAGTAGCTGGATCTGTAGCTGTACACCACCATGCCTGATTCAAGTCTTATTTTGATAGACGATGTTGCTAGAGTTAACAAAGAAGGGAAGCTCCTGTCCTATTAACCAAGTTCACCTTATTTTACCTTGTTTGGGTACATAGAGCTCTGTGGAGGCAAATGGGACTGCTATATCCTGTTTTGGTTTGGTTTGGTTTATTTTTTGTTTTTGCCATAGGGTATGTGTGCTCGTAGGAGAGAGATAAAGTGAGGGAAAGTGAGAAATCACTCCCTGGAGGATGGCCATGCTGCAATCCCTTCCCCTCCATGCTCCTCTTGGGATTCTAGGCACACTTGCACATGCATCCAGTGTGATTTTCAAGCTACCAGGTACAGGATGCAAACCGTGGTCAGGCACGTGGGAGTCCAGCACCTTAACCACTACATCACCTGCTGGTCCTCCTGGCAGGGTTTTTGCCAGCTGATCTCATGACTTGCAACCCTAGCTATGGGAGACTTTTAAAGTATGGATGGCCCAGGTCCTGCCTCAAAAAATTCTGTTCCAGCCATGCTGGTGCACAGTAACACCAGGCTCCGTGATGCTGGACCCTTCGCAGAGGGTGGGACGGTCCTGGGTTCATGTCTAGAGGTCTCTCTGCACATGCTGGTTATGTGTGTATCCAGGGTCCTGGCTAGGTAAGGATGAGGGTAGGTCACAGCATGAAGACCCTGCTGGGGATGCCTGTTTCTCTATTTCTCTCTGCCTCCCTCTCTGTCGTATAAAAATTAAAATAGGAAATAAACTTTAAAAAAATTTAAAAGTCGGGGATAATTGCCTCTCATGTGCCCAGGTTTCTGTCTGTTTTCTGTGCTCCCAGGTGATTCTAACGCACAGGCAGGAGTGAGTACCACTGCAGAAGGAAGTAGATCACGTGGTCAAAATGAAAGCCCTGCTTTACCTGTGAAAGTTGATCTTGTTTCCTTCCTTCCTTTACATAGAGATTTTTGCTACAGGGCACGTGTGCTCAGCAGAGAGACAGAGAGATGGAAAGTAAAAAAATCACCTGCTAGGGAGATGGCCATGCCACAATCCCTTCTCCTCCATTCTCCTCTAGGGATTTTAGGCATGCCCTCACACACACCCGGCACAAGTTTTAACCCGCCAGGTCCAGGACTCAAACCATGGTTGACTACATGGGAGTCCAGTGACATAACCATTATGGCATCTGCAGGTCTCTGATCATCTTTTAATAAGAATGAGGGTCTTTAAAAAATGGCTGCCTGATAATGCAGGGCTATGATTCAGAGCTAAACGCTTAAGAGCAGGACATGTTTGAAACCACACAACTCACAATGGCAGAGTATGTCCTAAGCCTTTCCTTCTCGAGTTTTTCTAACGTCCATTATCCAGAACAGTCCTTTCAGTAGCCTTGTGGCAGTGCTGGTGAATGGAGAAACCGAGGCTCGGAAATGATGAGACCCACTCAGGGTCACCCTGTGACAAGCCTACAGAGCCTAGGGGCTTTTGAGTTCATTGCCAAGTCTCCAGGAAGCCCTCACTGGTTTCTGCGCACACAGACAATGAACAAGAAGTTCAAACAGATCATGCAAACGTGGTCCTGCTCCATGCTACAAAGAGGCCTGGAAGACTCATCCAGGGTAATGCTGCAACTGATAGGCATTTGGCTGAACAGCAGTCCCTCTCTGCTCTAGAAAGCCGTCCCCATTACCACACACAGGAGGTAAGCTTGCTGCCGGTGGAGGGGGAGAGAGGTGGTGACAGGCACCCTGACACACACACCCATGGCTGAGAGCGGGGTCAGTCCCAAGTGTCATCGGGCTCCATCTAAGTTTAGATTTTGAAGTTCTTTAGAACAAAAACGGGTGGGGTTTTCATCCTTGCCTGTAGGAAACATCCATGCCAGTGTGGCTCCCACCCTCACCTTTAGTTTGCTATAAAAAGTCCCATCCCCAGAGTAAAAGCCAGGTCCATGTTCATGAAATGGGTTGGAGACCCCCCTTTCTGAGTCCTGGCTCAAGCCAGTTTCTGAGAATGGGGGACACCCTGGGGTAATGGAGTAGGGTGGACAGCCCCCTGAACTTGCTAATCGATTCACAAAGCGGATAGCCCACTTTAGGAGAGAAGCCTTAACTGCAGTCAGGTTTCCGTTTATGGCGGTAATTTGAGAAGGCCTTTCTCAAGGAGATACCAATGCAAGAAGTGGATGTATTTATAGAAGTTAAATAAATAAATCTCTTCTGAGAGGTCATAATATCTTACAGGAAGCAGGAGCCTCTATTGTGTGAAAACCCTTAACAGAAATGGTTGTGAGAATATTAACAAAAACATTCGAGAATATTCTCACCTGCCTGCTTACAAGAAAGAAAATTGCCCATTGGGGTCACATAGCTAGTGCTATAGAGATGATTTAGTCCATCAATCTAACAAAGTGGCTCAAATTTTAAAATATATTTGAATACATATCTAAGTGTGAATAAAATTAGCCATTTACAAAAGGAAAGTGGGCTGCATGCTGATAGTGGCAGAATTTCAGAAAATGAAGGTGTCTGCCCATTGGTGATACCTAGGGTTCCAGGCATATATTCTGAACTGGGCAGTGTCTTCTTTCTCCCCAAGCTGTTTTGCTTTAAACCCCTCTCCCTGTCTTCCTTCTCAGGAAGTTCTGGATGGAAAAGCCCTTGATGAGAAGCTCCTCTGTCTTCTTCCAACCTGGATTTGGCAGGAGCTGTCACAGGACTTGGGGGGACAAGCAAAGGGTACATGAGGTCCTAAAAGTGGGAACACCCCTGCTGCTAAGCATGGTCATGGCGGGGCAGGGAAGGGACAGGAAAGAGAGGAGAGAGGAAGGTCGGGAGTCCACAGGACAGGCTGCTGGACAGCAGGACTCCTAAATCCGCATGAGTCACTTTCCCTTTCTGACACTGCAGGAAATTAAATCTGTCTTCTCCCTCCTGGCAGGTCAACCCAGTGCTCCTGCACAGCCTCGGAGAGCCAGGGTGCTCGGCTTGAAGAAGGCACACCTCTTCCCGATAGTCATCTTCACCGATAGTCATCTGTGCTGGCTTCCAATGCATCTCTACAGATAGCCTGAGGTGGAGTGAAGGTCTTAGCAAATGGTACAAGAAGTATGTGTTCTGCGGCTCTCTCTCTTCGGCCTCAGTAATGCTTGGCTCATGTCCTGAAAGATCAGGGAAGCCATCCGGGCCTTTGAAGCTTCAGAATTCCAATAGGCCACTCCCTGAACAACGGAGAGGCTGAGCTGTCCCGTGGGCCTACCCCAGGCCCTCTGTCCAGCCAGCTGGTACCCCCTGCAGCTTTGTGGGCATCTCTGCCTCTGCCTGGACAGGTAAGAGGGTAGGGGACAATCAGGAAGGAAACCAGTTGAGAACACTAACATCTGATTGCAGCTTCTACCAGTTCCCTGTTTCAGTCGTGAAAAATGCCTGTACTAATGTATTGGATTTCCAGGGTTGGCCTCACTGCCTACTGGTTAAGGGAGCAGGAACACACATGGCCAACAACAGTTCAAGCCCCAGTCCCAGTGCCAGACCAGAGGCTTGAAAAACACACAGGGTGTGTGTGCATACATGCTCCAATTGGGATGAAGAAATGGAAGAGAGGGGATTGCACCATGAACATGTCCCACTTGGGGGTGCTGTCTCCTTCTCTCTCTGGTTCTCTGTCACTCTCTGGCAAGCACACACATCCTCTAGCAGGAAGGAGGGAAAAAAAGGAAGGAGGGAGGAAAATGGTTTTCCAAAAACTCCAAGCCTGACACCAAATTTGACAACTCTCTACATGTACTATAGGAATTTGCGAAACAGAAACTTCTGGCCCTCTGAATATCAAGTTAATGACACTAGTGTTTCTGTGGAATTCACAAATTTTCTTTTAGAACCTTAAATAACCTTAAATATAAGTTTACCTAAATTCTCCTTTAAATTCAGCATAATCTCACTTCCTCCAGGAAGCCAACCCTGATTGGCTGACCCACCTCATCACTCCAAGTTAGATGGATTTTTCTGCGCAACTCAAGTCTCTCAAGTACCTCTGTGACCCTTCTACACTGATTTCAATAACCTCAACTGTGAGCTCCTTGACTGGAGGGAAGGAAGGAGGCCTACCTTATTATGAACAACAAGTAAGCAGTAGCAGATTGATTATATGTTTGTTGAACAAAAAAAATCAAGTCATTTTTTGGAAGAAGTTCAATTATGGAAGTCTGAAACTACCAGACAAATGCATGTAGCATTTCATTCTACAAGTAACAATTTCTGAAATTTAAGAAACAGTCAAAAATGTTGAGCAAGAATTTGCACAGGAAATAAGCATGGTGTCTATTTTTTCCTAGACCAGGGGAATTCAATTAATAATTAATCTTTTTTTAATGGCTGGGGAGAATTTCATGATTGTGGGGACCTGGTGTTATAATGAAACATCGATTCTGCCTAACTGGGAGGGTTGCCAGGGCAACAGCGGCTCTTGATCACGTCAAATTACAGCCGCTATCTCCCTGGGTGTCAGTTTTCCTAGGAAGCTAATGGAAATTGAAAAAGTATATCTTTAGGTTTGACTTTTCTTTGGATTCATCTAGTGTATCAGACAAATGAGAGACAGAGAGGACGGAAAGCCCCCCAAACGACACAATCTGTCTAGACATTGGAGAAAAGCCAAAGCTCGTTTCGCGGGTTCTAGAGATCCTCCAGGCTTTAAAACTCAGGACATCCTACGAGAACCACAGGGAAACTTGGGAACGTACCTGCGGTTCATCCGGGGCGTGCACGAGTAAAATGTGGCAAAATAGGAAGGGGGAGGCACAGGCGGCACGAAGTCCTCGGGGTCCGGGATGCGTCCGTGCTCCTCCACTTCTTCTGCAGAGAGCTGGGACTCATCCTGGCAGAACAGCAGCTGGGTTAGTTAACCACCTTCACCGCAGAGGAGCGGGGAGGAGAGGGACAGGTCACACGACAGGGCTGTAGCCCAGGGCACATGCCAGCTGCACAGACTTACGATGCAGGACCTCCTGGTGGCAAATATCTGGAGGTAGCGAAGGGCTGCAGCCACTAGGCAGACGGTGGTGGTCAGAGCATTCAAGGCACACAGGGCGAAGAGGACTTTCTGGAACAAAGAAACAATAGCACCCTCGAGGACTGCTACTCAGATGATTGGAGTGGGCCAGCAGGTCACTAATGGTTGGGGCACTGGACTCCCACATGGCCAAATGCTGTTTGAGGCAGACCCAGCAGCTTGAAAATCATGCCAGGCAGTTGTGCATGCATGGGAAAATAGACAAGAAGGGATTGAGGGGCCAACAGATGGTGTAATGGTTACGTCACTGGACTCTTACATAGTCGGCTGTGGTTCAAGTCCCAGACCCAGGGGCTTAAAACTCATACCAGGCGCATGTGCGGGTGTGCCCAAAATCCCAAGAGGAGAACAGAGGGGAAGGGATTGAGCGTGGCCATCCCTCCCTGGGGAGTGACTTCTCACTTTCTATCTTTCTGGCAATCACACATGCCCTATAGCAAAAATCTCTCTCAAAATAAGAAAGAAAGAAAGAAAGAAAAAGAAAAGAAGTGCTTATAGGGTGGCCATGCCCCCTGGGGGTGGTTTATCACTTTCTCTCTCCCTATTTCTCTCTGTCTCTTTGGTGAATGCACACACCTTATGTCAAACAATCTCTCTCTAAAAAAAAAAAAAAAATAGATGTATGAGAAGAAATACAAAAATGAAGGCAAAAGATTCTGATGAGGTTCAGCCCATGAGCAAAGCAGAAATGAACACTGGATATAATTATGACTGCAATATTGCATCCTTCTTAATTTGAAAAAACAAAACAAAACAAAAAAAACCAAAACTTATCTTAGAAGTTCCTTGTCCAGAAACACCTGGTATCACAGTATTTCTTTTTGCAAACAGCAGAATGCTGTCTGGAAACGTTCATTCCAGGAGCGCAAGGAGGTTTTCCTCTGCAGTTGGTGTCCCTGGGGACGGCACTTCCCAGTCTCCCACCAGGACAGCACAGGCTTCATCTGTGGCCACTGATTCTATTTCAGGAGCAACTGGCAGGGTTGCCCCAAGCACCCAACCAGGATACCAGGGCCAGACCAGCCAGAGTGTAAATAGGACTTCTCTCCTCTCCATACAGGTCTTAAAATAGCAGCCAGGGCAATTCCAAAAGTTTCTGTTGCTACAATCCTGGCTCCTTAGCAGGGTTTTCCCCACGCGAAGTCCTGGGGCAGAAAGTTTGGGGCTGACTCAGCTACCAAAAATGCGGACACCAAAGAAAGCAGCCCATTTGTACACCATACATAACCCAGAGACGGCAGCTTCAAATAGTTTTCTCTGTCTGCTTAGAGATTCCACCTCCTCACAGAAAAATAAACCCAAAACAAAGATCTAAAGAGAGCCACTAGCTGTGGGCTATCCAAAGTGAATACTGCGGGGTTCACCAACTGATTTTGTCCCTGGATGAACATTTGACATCAGGATGCAATTTTTACCCAATTCCCCTAGTAAAGGCTAATTTTGTACTTAACCTCTAACTGGGGTCACTTTTTTTTTTTTTTAATCCCTTTTGCTTGTTATAGTTGTTGCTTAATAAACAAGTGCTAAATTGCTTGAGTTTCTCCTGTATCCTCTGGCCAATCTCTCTTTCTAATCTCTGTCATAGAATGGCAATACTCAGTCGGAGAACAAAGAGATTCTCCTCTCAAGTTGATGGCCCTGGGCACAGCACTTCCCAGCCTCCCATCCGTGGCCACTGATTCTATTTCAGGAGCAATTGGCAGGGTTGCCCCAAGCACCCAACCAGGACACCAGGGCCAGTTCGGACACCCAGGTCCAGCACTCGAACCATGGTCAGCCATGGGGAAGCCCAGCACCTTAACCACTATACCACCTGCCAGCCCCATGTAAACACATTTATGAGGAGTCTTCAAAAACTTCCTGGAAAAAAAAATGGTTATTATGAAAAACCTGTGCATGGACTTTGAAATGCTGTATGTATTGGTGGGGGCTGGAATCCATTCGAGTTACCTTAAGTAGAAGGTGAACAGCACTGCAGGGCTGAACTGGAAAGAGTTTCAAGGCATTTTCTTTGTCCGTGCATTTGGCTGGTTGAAATTCTTCACAACAGAAGCAAATCTTGCCTTCACCTAAGTCCACCTTAAGGGGGAAAAGGCAGAATAAAAATGTAGTTATTAAGAAAAAAAATATCCTGTCTACACCACACGCACCGGAGTGAGAAGTGGCAGAGTTCCATGTCAGCTATGCCTGCGGCAGTCAGGCTAGGCGAGGGTATGGCACAGTAACAAGCAAAACCAAAATTGCAGTGGCTTCACTAGCAGTAGTTATTTCTTACATATCCTACATGTCCACTGCAGGTCAGCAAAGGGCTCTGCTCACAGTATTCCCGTAGGGACCCGGACTGGTGGCACATGTACCGCTGCAACGGTGTGGCATGATAGCCATGCCAGAAATGTCAACTGCATGTGACATACTGCGTATTGACGCTTACAGAGAAAATACAGGATGACCAATTAAACATTGTAAGATATGTATTTATACATATATACATACACAATAGACGATTATCAGCTTTCTATCTGAAATCCAAATTTTACTTGGTGTGCTGTAATTTTACTTGTTAAATCTGGCAACCTCAGCTTCAAGCATCCTCTTGCAAAAGGCACACAGCCCACTGCCCACACTTTCATTGTCAGACCAAGTCATGTGGCCCCGTCTACCTCCAAGGGGGGCAGAGAAGTCCAATCTACCGTGTGTGTGTGAGAAACACATCGTAAAGTCAGAGAACGGAGGCCCTAGACCATGTGGGCTTAAAGAGACCTCTTAATTTCATGATATTTTTCCAAATTAGGAGATAGCTTGGTTCTTTATAATCCAACTTGACTAGGAACCTGAGGAGGAAACATCCACTTCCGTTGGCTCCCTTTTTCTGTTGGGGGGGGGTACGTTCCTAGGCCCCCAGTGGGTGCCTGAAACCGCACATAGCACAGACCCTATATATGGTACATTTTCTCCTACACATAGATACTTACAATTAAGTTTGTTAGAAATTAGGCACAGTAAGAGATTAGCAGCAATAACTAATAATAAAAAAGAGCAAGTACTGAGTCATCAGAAAAGCCATGATGTATTTTTCTGTTTTTCTATGCAAAATGCATCATGACTTTTCCAATGACCCCAAATCACAATGTATTGAAATGGGAGTTATAGGGGGACCAGTAGACAGCGTAATGGTTATGTTGCTGAACTCCCATGTAATTGACTGTGGTTCGAGTCCCAGATCCAGCAGCTGAAAACTCACTCGTGTGCGTGCATGTTCAAAATCCCAAGAGGAGAATGGAGAAGGGATTGCGTTGTAGCCAATTCCCCTGGGGGTGATTTCTCACCTTCTGTTCTCTGTCTCACTCTGTCTCTCTGGTGGGCACATGTGCCCTATAGCAAAAATCTCTCTCAAAAAAAAAAAAAAGTTATGTGAATGAAGTCTCTCTGGAGCTCTTCTAAAATATCTTATTGCACTGTGCTGCAGGTAACTGAAACCATGGGAAAAGGAGCCGTAGATTGGGGGACTACTGCACTAGGTTATATAACATGTGGGGACACACTTAGCTATAGTTTCTCTTTCTTCTTTTTTTCTTTTTTTCCTTCTCTTTTTTTCTTCTTTTCTTTTTTTTCAGTTTTTTTTTTTTTTTTTTTGCTATAGGGCGCATGCGCTCACCAGACAGACAGAGATAGAGAGACAGAAAGTGAGAAATCACCCCCCAGGGGGGATGGTCACGCCGCAATCCCCTCTCCTCCATTCTCCTCTGGGGATCTTGGGCACGCACGTACACGTGCCTGGCGTGAGTTTTAAGCCACCCGGTCCAGGACACGAACTGTGGTCGACTACATGGGAGTCCAGCGACATACCAATTACGCTAACTGCTGGTCCCTAGTTTCTCTTCCTTCTGAGGTGAAAGTTACACACACACACTCACACACACTTTACATACACAAATATTAAGTGTGCCATTAGAGGAATTAAGTAATACATACAACTGTGTAACCCAACACATACAGGTCTGCCCAGAAAATTTCCTCATGCTCTTTCCCCACCAAACCTTGCCCCCACCAGCCCAGAGGCAACCATTTTTCTGATTTTTTTTTTCCCCTGCTTAGATCAGTTTGGTTTCTTCTAGAACTCCATGTATTCTACAGAATTTTTTATGATTTGTCCTAAAGCCTCCTTGAACAGGGTTCATTAATAGATCAGATTTTGCCTCTGGTCCAAAGAGTTAACAACCAGAGCCACCTCAGTGGGTTCCGAGATTGCTGTCCATTCACCCCATTTGGTTTCTCTATGTCCCTGGCTTGTCCACAGAGATCATCTCAGCAATATCTCGGTCTCTAGATCCAAGCAAAGGAACAGGCTGCTTCCATTCACATCTTGGGAAGCTGTGTCCTGCTGGGAGTCTCCACACTCACCTCTCCTCTTCTAAGGGAAAACTACTGGAGCCATTCAGACTGGCTTTCCCTAAGCAGAGGCTAGGCAGGTGGGAACTGTTCCTGCCTCTTGGGGATCACTGTCTTTCTCTCTGCCTCTTTAATTATTATTAATTATAACAGCCCTCTCACTGGGCTAAATTCAGCAAGAGACTATGACTCTCGGAAGGCCTCCTCCTTTAAAGTCTCCAGCTGCAAAGCTCCTGTTTTAATACTAGCAACACTAGCCCATAGTAGCAAATAGGAGATGACATGGAGGCCTCCATTCTGCTCTTGTCCATGAGTCCCTTCCTCCCAACAGGAACCAAACTCACTTTAAAAAAATTATTTAATTTTGGGACCAGCAGTTAGCATAATGGCTATGTCGCTGGACTCCCACGTAGTCAACTGCGGTTCGAGTCCTGGACCCAGTGGCTTAAACTCACACTGGGCGCATGTGCGTGTGTGCCCAAGATCCCAAGAGGAGAATGGAGGAGAAGGGATTGCGGCGTGGTCATACCCCCCTGGGGGGTGATTTCTCGCTTTCTGTCTCTCTGTCTCTGTCTGTCTGGTGAGCGCACACGCCCTATAGCAAAAACCTCTCCAAAAAAAATTTAATTTTATTTATTTATTTATTCTAAAGAGAGATTTCTGCTATAGGGCACATGCACTTGCCAGAGAGAAGAGAGAGAAAGAGAGACAGAAAGTGAGAAATCACCTCCTGGGGGGTGGGGGACGGCGGCCATGCCGCACTCCAGAAATCACCTCCTGGGGGCGTGGGGGACGGTGGCCATGCCACAATCCCTTCTCTTCCATTCTCCTCTTGGGATTTTGGGCACGAATGCACATGCCTGGCATGAGTTTTAAGCCGCTGGTTCTGGAACTCAAACCATGGTCGACCACGTGGGAGTCCAGCAATATAACCATTATGCCATCTGCTGGTCCCAATTTTATTTATTGTTATTATTTTAATTTGTTGTACTCACCAAAGACAGAGACAGAGAGAGAAAGTGAGAAAGTAAGCCACCAGGTCCTGGACTCAAACCACAGTTGGGCATGTGGGCGTTCAGTGCCTTAGCCAACACTCTACCTGCTGACCCGAACTTACTTTTCAACATTAGGCTGTACAATTTCCATTTCTTGGACTTGGTACAAGCCTGGAGCTCTTGCCTGACTCCACCTCCCTCAGATCATACTAGGTGTCATCTTACAAAGCACCTCTTACCCACACAAGTCCATTCTTTTTTGTTGTTTAATTGTCAGAGGGCACCTGCACTCATCAGATAGAGAGGGAGAGGAAGAAAGCACCCTTCAATGGGGTGTAGTCATGCTGCAACCCCTTCTCCATTTCTTCATCCCGTCAGGATTTGGGGCACTCACTCATATGCACATGAGCCTGGAATGTGTTTTATACTGCTGGGGCTGGGATTTGAACCACAGTTGACCATGTGAACTCCAGCATCCTTAACCATTATGCTCCAGGGTTGGTCCACATTCCAAGTCCATTCTCCTGGAATGTGTTTTATACTGCTGGGGCTGGGATTTGAACCACAGTTGACCATGTGAACTCCAGCATCCTTTTGGCACTTGCCAGAGAGAGACAGAGAGAGGAAAGTGAGAAATCATCTCCCAGGAAGGATGGGCACACCACAATCCCTTTTCCTCCATTCTCCTCCATTCTCCTCCTAGGAGGATGGGCACATAAGCACACATACCTGGCATGATTTTCCTTTTTTTGTTTGTTTTTGGAGAGATTTTTGCTATAGAGTACGTGCTCTAGCCAGAAAGACGGAGACAGAAAGTGAGAAATCACCCTCCAGGGAGGATGGCCACGCCGCAATCCCTTCTCCTCCATTCTCCTCTCGGGATCTTGGGCACACACGCACACATGCCCTGCGTGAGTTTAAGCCACCAGGTCCGGGACTTGAACCGCAGTCGACTACATGGGAGTCCAGTGACATAGCCATTACACTAAATGCTGGTCCCATCCCTGGCATGATTTTCAAGCCACCAGGTCCAGGACCTGAACCACGGTCAGCCATGTGGGGGTCTAGCACCCTAACCACCATGCCACCTGCTGGGCTCCAGTAGTCCATTCTTGATACCAGGGGTTCAGTGAACTGAGAAGCTGGGCCTATGTGGGCTGCACACGCATGGCGGCATTATTCACATGAAACAGATGCCCAAGTGGAGAGAAACTCCAGCTATCTAGAATGTTTGCAGTGAGCCAATCTAGATGGCAAAATTTCCTAGAGGGGTAAAAGATAATCACCTTAAAAAAGGATTATTTGAAGGTTTAATCATTATACAGATGATCAGGAATATAAATCACTGCTCCCACGTGATAGAAGGAAGCCCCTAGATTCTGTGCAAAATGATTCTAGGCAATGGTGTATTCTGTGTTTCCTGTCCATCCTGTTCCTGATCCTTGTCAAATCTACCTTTACCTCCGTTCTTAACTCCACCTCTGCCCAACATTTCTAAAAACGTACTCTACATTCTCTTCAGTCTCTTTAACCTTTCCACAAACCCGTAGAAGTCTTCACAATCCTAAACGATACACAGCCTCCCTCCAGCCTTGATGCTACCACCTGAAGATAAGGAGTTCATATAAAAAGAGCTCTGGCAACTCAGGCTAGCCAAATGGTGTGGCAGTTGGGGTCGCTGCAGCTCCTGTGGCCAAATGTGCAGTGTGAGTCCCGGACCCGGTGGCTTGAAGAACACACTGGGTATGTGTATGTGCATGCCTAAAATCCTGAGAGGAGAAGGGCTTGCATCCTGGCCATTCCTCCTGGAGTGTGATTTCTCACATCCTCTCTAACTCTTTCTCTCTGTCTCTGTGGCAAGTATGCGTACCCTATAGCAAAATATATATTTTTTTCATTTTTAAAATAAAAACTCCTGCAGTTCAACAATAACAAAATAACCTTTAAAAAATGGACAAAGAACTTGAACAGATATTCCTCTATAAAGAAGACATACAAATGGCCGACAAGCATATGAAAAATGTTCAACTTCACTGAACATCAGGGAGATGCAAAACAAAACCACAGTGAGAAATCACTTCATGCCCATTAGAATGGCCACTATCAAAAAAAAAATAGAAAATAAGTGTTAATGAGTATCTGGAGAAATTGGAACCCTAATCCAGTGTTGGTGGGGATATAAAAATGGTGTCACCAGTATGGAAAACAGTATGAAGTTTCTTCCAAAAATTAAAAATAAAATTACTATATGCTCTACTTCTGGGTATATACCCACAAGAATTAAAACCCAAATCTTAAAGAGATATTGGCATGCCTATGTTCATTACAGCATTATTACGATAGCCAAGAGCATTAAAACTAGGACCTCACATAGACATTCACACACCTATGTTTACTACAGCATTATTTATAATAGCCAAGAAGTGGAAGCAACACAATGTCTACCCATGGACCCGTAAAGTGTGTCACATACGTGCAAAAGAACAGTATTAGGCCTTAAAAGGGAAGAAAATTGTGACATATACTATAGTTTTGCTGAATTGTCTTTTCATAAATCAGTTTTCACTTCCAGCCTCTTTTTTCTTTGCCCTTCTAATTTGCTGTGTGATAGAAAATCAGACAACTAAACTTTGTCCAAAACTTTTTTCCAGGAATTGTATATAAAGAAGTATGTGTGGAGCTGTTGGAAACTCCCAAAAGAGGACTAGAGACTGTCAAGGAGATTCCAGACCAAAAGAGAGAAACATATACACGTATCTTTAGCCCCAAAAGAAAGGGATAAACACCTAAGAGATGTACAGATAGAAGATTCTGGAAAATTATCACTTCTGGGGATCAGGGAATATTTCCTGAAAGAGAAAGTCTTTGAATGAGGCTTTAAAAGACTCATACTGGGGGCCAGCAGATAGCTTAGGGTTTACATCGCTGGACCCCCATATGGCTGACTACAGTTCGAGTAGTTCGAGTCCTAGACCCAGTGGCTTGAAACTCTTACCTGGTGTGTGTGTTTGTGTGTGCCCAAAATCCCAGGAGGACAACGGAGGAGAAGGGATTGCAGGGTGGCCAACCCCCTGGGGGGTGATTTCTCACTTTCCCTCCCATTCTCTCTCTCTTTCTCTCTCTCTCTCTCTCCATCCCTCCAGCAAGCACATACATCCTAAGGCAAAAACCTCTTTTTTTTTTTTTTTTTAGGTTTTTGCTTGAT